GGCCTCTCTTCCCGTCCCACGCAGGCTTGTCTCGGGCTCTGTGGTACAGGGGATGCTCAGCCACCCCTCATGTTCTAGGCTGTTCTCAGTGGCGTCTTGTCCATGGATAGTTGTTGTTCTTGGGAGGGGGAGGGAAATCGGGAATAACCTACGTCACCAGCTGGGTCGCATCACCTCCCAGTTCTCTGCTCTCCAGGTGAGACTTCCAGGCCCCCAGACTCACCTCCTCCAGACCGATACACTCGCTGTGGGATGCTGGGCCCCTCGCCTTTCCCTAGCTCTCCCTTGTTTATCCTTTGGCGCTCAGTTGGAGGTCACCTCCTCCAGGAAGCCCTCCCTGCCCTGGATTTTGCTGGGTCATGTACCCTTCTCTCTGAGTCCTGGTTGCCAAGGACAGCTATGTTTGCTGCTTGGATCTTGACCTGTGGGTATGTTGTTTGAGTATCCAAGGGTCATCGGAAATCCTTAGAGAACTTGCGGGGAGGGGAAGATGCTTTTGTAAACTGGGATGAAAGCCAGAAAGGGCTTGGCGGGACAGGAGAAGGGCTCTTAGGCAGGAGGACCAGCCCGAGCCAAGCTCTGGAGGCAGGACTTGCCCGAGTGGGTTTGCAGGGCAGCGGTCCCTGCTGTCCGGGTATCTGGCCCAGCACAGGTGGAGCATTAGAGGTGTCCATTATGCTGACTCCACATCGTGCACCTGTGCCTTGTGGCCGCCTACCAGGGCCCTGAGCCCGGCAAGAACCATAAGCAAGTGAGAGATTGTGCTCCCGCTCACCCTGTGGTTGGTTACGGCTGATTATTTCGATAAAGCTTCTGCCAGGGTTGTGGGCAATGCAGGAGACGTGAGTTCCTCACTCTTGGCTCCACGAAGTCCTGCACGCCTCTCATAGGCAGGGGGGGAAGTGGCCTCTGCAGAGGTCCCTGCACTGGCTCACTTGGAGTGCCAGGGGCTCCCAGGGAGTCTCACAATCTCTGAGTCTTTGCCGCAGGGACGGTTTGTCGCATATAAGACTCCAGACCTCAGCCCACCCCCCTCCCTTTTTTTAAAGTGGAGTTGATTTGCAATATTAGTTTCAGGTGTGCAGCAAAGTAATTCAGTTATGCAAATTGAACCTTAAATTCTTTTTTTAAGCTTTCTTGGGGGGGTAGGTAATTAAGTTTTATTAGTTTGTTTGATGGAGGTAGTGGGGATTGAACCTAGAAATCCGTGTGTGCTAAGCAAGCGCTCTAACACCGAGCTGTATCCTCCCCCTTCTCTCTCTCTCGCTTTTTTTTTTTAACTTTTTCTTCTGAAATGACTCTAGATCCACAGGAAGTTGCCAAGATAGTACAGAGAGAAACTATGTAATTATATGTATGTGCTGTTATGTATCTTGCATCACCCGCCCGTTAGCGTAGTATCAAAACCAGGACACTGACGCGGGTACAGTGTATCTCAACGCTGTGCCATTTCATCACACGCATGTCGACTCCTGACTCTCGCAACCGCCAGCGTCATCTGGATGCAGCAGATGCATATCTGTTCCGTCCCCACAAAGCTCTCCTTACAGCGCCTCCGGTGTAGTGACGTCGTTCCTAAACCCTCTCAACCACCCGCCTCTCCTCCACCTCCATAACTGGTTATTTCAAGAATGTTGTGTACAGGGAATGGTACAGTAGGTTGTGCTTCGCGGTTGGCCTTTTTCACTCCAAGTAATGCCTTTGAGATTCATCTAAGTGTTGTGTGATCAGCGGTCTGTGCTTGTCTGTTACCGAATTGTGTTCTATCGTGGATGGACCATGGTTTGCATGATGGGTCAGTGCACGCTGCAGGATGCTGGAGTCGTTTCCAGTTTTTGTCTGTTATGAATAAGGCTGCTACAAACACTCATGTCCAGGTTTTTGCAAGGACATAAGTTTCCACTTCTCTGGGATAAATGCCCAGGAGTACAATTGCTGGATCGTGTGGTAAGTGCTCAGTGTTTTAAGAAACTGTTAAGCTATGTCCCTAAGGGGCTGTACCATTTTACATTCCCACCAGCAGAGCATGAGATGTAGTTTCTCTGTACTCAGAGCATCTTTTATCTCCATCCAGGCTTGTCCTGAAAGTCCCACATCCCAGGGGTTTTTGGGGGTAGGGGGTGGTTTCCTGGGCCCCAGGGGCAGCCCTTGGAAGAGGGGGAATGTGGGCTTTTGATTCTGTTTGAGGGAATTACCTCACACTTCTTTCTCCCTGGAGTCCTGCCAGGGACTGACTTGCTCCCCCCGTCCCCAGAATCCATATGTTGAAGCCTTAACTCCCAGCGTCATGGTGTTTGGAGGTGAGGCCCTTGGGAGGTAACTGGGTTTGGATAAGGTCATGAGGGTGGGGTGCCCTTGTAAGAGGATGAAGGAGCAGAGCTGGCTTGCGGTCTCTCTCAGTGCCGCGTGAGGACAGCCACAGAGGACGTCTGCAAGCCGGGGACAGGGCTCTCTCCGGACCCCAGCTGTGCTGGCACCCTGATCTCGGGCTTCCAGACTTGAGAAGAGTGAGGAATAAATTCCTGCTGTTTCAGCCGCCCAGTCAGTGGTGTTTTGTTACGGCAGCTGAAGCCAACCAAGACCAGTCGAAAAGCTCTCAGTCCCCTGAGCTCTGAGCCTTCCTAAACTTATGGGATCCAAGATGCTACCAACCACCAGACAGAAAATCCACACAAATCAGGCGTCAGAATTTGAAGCATATAGTTGGAGGAGCGCACTGAGGATTTAATCTTTAAAAACGCAATATGAGATCGGCTTTATTTTTATCCTGTGGTCTGTACAGTTTAATTTACTCTCGCAACTACGTGCAAACCCTCGAATGAACAAAAGAAACCGTCGAGTGTTTGGGACAATTTTGGCGTATTTTTCTCCCAACAAATTGCACTCTGGAATGACACACGCCTTTCTCTGCCCCCTTGATGTTGCAGTGCTAATAGTCACAGGGGCTTCTTTGTGTGCACACGTGTACCCACAGACACACACAAGTTAGTTTTGCCAAAAGCCTCTCTTAATCCGTTGCTAATCAGATCTTTCTCTTTTAATTAAAATTTTTTTTTAGTTTGAAATAATTATAGACATCTAGGAAGCTGCAAAAACAATGCAGAGTCTCATTTACCCTTCATCCAGCTTCCCCCAGTGGTGACAGCTTTTAAGGCTGTAGGGAAATAGCAAAGCCAGGAAATTGACATTGAAATTGTCCTGTTAATTAGGTGACAGTATTCATATTTCATCTTTTTTTTAAACCAGCATCTGTGTGTACGTGTGTTTCTATGAGTTTCTATTAGTCCATGGATAAACTTGTGTACTCACTACCATAGTCAAAATCCAGGACTGCTCCATCCCCACAAAGCAATTTTCTCCTGCTATTTCTTCATATTAACCACACTGCCAGTCCCCCGTCCCCAGGAAACCGTTAACCCGCTCTCCATCTCTTTAGTTTTGTCATTTCGAGAATATTGTATAAATGAAGTCAGATAGCACGTAACCTTCCGAAGTCAACTGTCTCCGCTCTGCGTAAGCTGTGTGTATCAGTCAGTTTTTCTTTTTTCTGGCTGAGTAATATTCCAGGTATTGGCTTGCCAGTGTTTGTTCACTTATTCAATCAGTGAAGGACGTTTGGTTTCCAGTATTTTGCTATTGTGAACAGAGCTGTTATGAATATTTGTGTACAGTTTTTTACATGAACATATGTTTTCATTTCTCTGGGATAAATGCCCAGGAATCCGTTTGCTGAGCTGTATGGCAGCGACATGTTTGGTTTTTAAAGAAACTGACACTCTGTGTTCCAAAGTGGCTCTACCATTTTGTATTGCACTGGCAACGCACGAGAGATCAGGTTTCTCCACAGCCTCTCCAGCATCTGGTGTTGTCACTTTTTTAAAAATCTGAGCTCTTCTAATAGGCGTGGTGGTACCTCACTGTGGTTTTAGTTTGCATTTTCCTACTGGCTTATGACGTGGAGTGTCTCTTCATGTGCTGCTTTGGTGTTATTCTTTTTCCAAAAACATATTGAGCCTTTCCATAGAGTAAAGGGTGCATATCTTTGAGGGAGGGTGTAGCTCAGTGGTAGAGCACATGCTTAGCATGCCCGAGGTCCTGGGTTCAATCCCCAGCACCTGCATTAAAAAAAAGAGCCCGGTGTCTTCAGTATCTTGATGAATTTTTACATTTGCACAGAGTGTTGTAACCACCACCCAGATCAAGACACAAAACATGACCAAACCATAACCAGAAGTGTCCCTCGTGTCCTCTGCCAGCTTCTGTCCCTTCCAGCAGCAACCAGTGAGCTGATTTGGATGACAGTGGTATGCAAAATGAGGGCCCCCAAAGATGGCTACATCCGAGTCTCCAGAACCTGCAAACTGTTCGATTACAAAAGGAGATTACATTTGCAGATCGAATGAAGGTGACTAGTCAGCAGACCTTAAAATAGAGACTGTCATGGTGTGAACAGGTAGGCTCAAGGTACTCAAGATTCTGAAAAGTAGAGAAGGAAGACAGAGGTGATTTAAGCAATGCTTGACCCGCCATCGGTGGTGGTGAGGATGGAGGGAGGGGCCGTGAGCCAGGGATGCGGCGCCTCTAGAAGCTGGAAGAGGCAGGAGCCGGTTCTCCCTGGAGCCTCCGGAGGGACCAGCCCTGCTCACGCCTGGGTTTTAGTCCCTTGTGAAAACCTCTAACCTCTAGAATGATAAGAGAATGAATTTGTGTTGTTTTAAGCCATGGAGGTTTTTCTAGTACGTTGCAGCAGCGAGGCGTGCTAGAGATGAATTTGTTCCGCTCTTGAACTTCATGTAAATGGAACATGAAGGTTGTGACCTTTTGCATGTAGCTTCTTCCACGTGATGTGATGTTTTTGAAATTCACCCATGCTGGCTGTGTGAATATCATATTCCTTTGTACTGATAAACGTTTCATTTTATCCATTTTATTCCACTATTTTTGCTTCTACACTGTTCACGTGTTGATGGACAACTGTGTTGTTTCTAGTTGGAGGCTATTATTAATAAGGTCCCTGTAAGTATCTGTCTGTAGGTTCTTATGTAAACGTGTTGTCGTTTCTCTTGGGTAAATACCCGGGGGTGAGATGTCTGGGTCCTAACTTAGCAAATCATCAACTTTATAAAAATCTGCTAAGCAAGTCACTTCCCAAAGTGGTTTTGCCGCGTTTTGCATCCCCACCAGCAACGTCTGAGAATTTCAATGGTCCCACAGCCTCACCGAAATTGACACTGTCAGGCTTGTAAAAATTTTGACGTTTTAAAGCCACATTGTCCAACGCAGTAGCCATTAGCCATATGTGACTATTTATTTATAGTTTTTAACGTGTATTTTTAATTGAAATATGGTTAACTTGCAATATTACATTGGTTTCAGCTGTACAACATGGTAATTTGATTTTTTTTTTTACTTTTTAATATATATTTTTTAAATTGAAGTACAGTCATTTACAACGTGTCAGTCTCTGGTGTACACACAGTGTCCCAGTCGTGCGCATACATACGTATATCCGTTTCCATATTCTTTTTCATTAAAGGTTACGTAATTTGACGTTTTTGTACATTGTGTCCCATACAAAGTTATTGCAAACTATTGACCCTATTCCCTGTGCTGCCCACGTGACTACTCAAATGCAAACGAATTCAAATGAGAAAAAAGGAAAATCCAGCTTTTCGGCCACACGGGTCTCATTTCCCGCGCTCCGCAGCCGCGCGTGGCTGGAGGCCGCCGCCCTGAGCAGCGCGGCCGGAGCCCGTTGCCCTCGGCACGGGGCGCCCTGCTGGCGCGTGCTCTCCTAGCGAGTAGAAGGCACTGCCTCGTGGTTTTAACTTTTATTTCTCAGTATGACTTTGTAAACCCCCCTTTTAATTTTTTTTCATTTATTTTTTATTTTTGTTTTTTGGAGAGTTGTTTTTGGTTCTTTTTCACTTTATTTATTTTTGGTTTTTTGGTTTTCTGGTCTCTGTGTGTGTGTTTTCTTCAGTAACTCTCTTTTATTCTTAAAACTATCCAGTGTGGGATTCAAAGAACCCTGGCTGACAGCCTTTTCCACAGTGAAGAGGGACCAGAGTTGGTCATCTTCCCAGAAGGTCTTCACAGAGCACCAGCCCACTGTGCTTGGCTGCAGTGTAGGGAAGGGGGCAGTGGAGCGGGGGGCAGCTTCTTGGGCATCACCCCACTTCCCTGCCTCCTCTTTGGGCCCTGATCAGGACCCTCATCTCTCTTGCCACCTCCATAACCAGTCCTTCACCACATCCTTCATCCCATGACTCTCCATACCCACTCCTCCCTGGTAACCACCCCAGCTCCCTGCTCCCAGCCCACACACCCCCTTCGGTATTTTTCTCCATGCAAATGCCGGAATGATCTTTGTAAAACATACATCTGATTCTATATCTCTGTTGCTAGAATGTCAGCTTCAGGAGGGTAAGAATCTTGCTCTGATTTGATCAGTGCTGGATGGCAAGTCCCTGGTATACAGTAGGTGCTCGATAAATGTTAACTGACTGAATGGCTTATAGCCATTACAACAGAGATTGTGGGTGGCCTACCCAATGGCCATTCTCCTCCTTTTCTTTGGTCACAGGATCTTGGTATTATTTAGGGCACCAGACCATCAATTAAAAATTACCTTTCCTAGACTCCTTTATAATTACGTGTAATCTTGTGACTATATTCTGGCCAATGAGATCCTAGCAGAAGTTTGTGTGGGGTTTCTGGCACCTTTAAAAGAAGCTGATTCCAATGGAAGCTACATCATTTTACTCACCCCCCCATCCCTTTCTCCTTCCTGCTGTCTGGAATGTAGGACTGATGGCTGGATCTCTGGCAGCCACTTTGGATCCTGAGGTGACTCTGAGAACGGTAAAGAGAGAAGAGGGAGGAAGCCTGGGATGCTGATGGCCATAGAAGTGCCAACCAGCCCAGAACTGCTCACTTGCAGATACCAGGGCCACATTTCACTCCCTTGGCAGAGGAGGGTCTGCCCTCGTGAGTTTCCCTGAAGATACTGAGCATCTGCTGGGTGCCCCAGATACAGTGAGGCACCTTTTGCTCCCCAAAAGGTGCCTCACTGTATCTGGGGCACCTTCTTTATCTTGTTTGAGCCATTATTACTTTTCCACTTACTCTTTATCTTGGTTTTGGCTCCCCAGAAGGAGACCCTAGGAATCAGGGGTTTGGGAGCAAGTAGTTTATGTGGGAGGTGATCCCCAGGACACCCTGGGAGGAGGGGAGGAGAATTAGACAGGAAAGGAGTGGCGCCAATACAGAATGCATGCCTAAGTAGGTGACAGCTATGGGTAACCTGGACTCAGTCCCACTGCGACCCCTGGAGGCAGAGTAGAGCACAACCTGACTTGTCCTACCGGAAGGAGGAGGGAG